GTACTCTCCATCTCTCTCAAATCTCAAATTTTTATCTTGATCTTCTGTGTGGTCTCATAATATTATCAATTGCTATGGTAGAAATCGAACCTTCTTATTTCCTCAATTCAACCTAGCGCTTCAAAGTTCCAGGTTTTTCATTCAAAATTTTTTACTTTTTTTTTTATAAATTATTTCATACTGTTGATTGCTCAAAACCTAATATAAGAGATTTACTTATACTTAGAATATCAATATGTGAAAATATGAATGTAGATATGAAAATATAAAATAAAAGAAGAGTAAAAAAACATAAATCTTAAAAAGGTGCTCTCGATAAATTTGTTATTGGAAGTAAAAGTAATAAAAATGATCAAATTATAGAAGAAATGATAAATATAGACAAATCAAGTGATAAAATAAAAATAGTAGATGATAATATGGTTGTTGAATAAATGAAGCATCTAATCATGAAAATCAAACCAAACCAGAGCGAGGAACTATAGAAAAAAAGGATTGCTAAGGAAATTGGAAATGATATGAAAATATAATCAATATTTCACGAAAAAATAACGATTCAAAAAATAAAAAACAATTTGATGAGAAAGTTGATATTGAAAAAAAACGATCACTGCAAGATTCAATTTCACGTATATGGAAATATCTTTTAACTTCTTATTTGATAGGAAAATTTTAATTTCAAAGTCATTAGATGATGATAATCTGAAAAGATATTGTAGTAATCTTGAAAATATATAAAAACATGATACATGTACTGACATTATCCATTTAGATTTATTTTTTGAATTAAAAAAATTAAGAGAAGTCTTGTAAAATTAAACTGACTATCCTATCAAAATATTAAATTATATAAAAAAGGTAAACGCTTTTACAAATGCATATATTGCTTATAAAATATTATTAACCATACCGGTAACTGTTGCTTCTGCTAAAAGAAGCTTTTCAAAATTAAAATTAATCGTATTTAAGGTCAACTTTGTCACAAGAAAGATTAAATTAAATGGAGTGATCATATTGTTCATTGAAAATGATATATCAAAGAACTTAGATTATCAAATTTTGATACATAATTTTGCATTTCAAAAAGTAAGAAAAATAAATTTTGGATGATCTTTTCTATATTAAGGCCTCTAAATCAAAGTTTTGTCTAAGATCCCCTTCATGTTGAGTCGCCTCTACTCAAACCCATCATTTTCCAACTTTTCATCAAAAAAAAAAAATAATAATAAGATGAGTCATTCAAATATTATATAAACTATTTCCACCGTCGTAAAGCCTGTCCCCGTACAATCTCATTGGCAATTCATCACTCATACGATCCTTTTCGCACAAATTAAAAAGAAAAAATTATAAGAAATTTTACATTAAAAAAAATCTACAATGGTAAAGCCAATCTCAAATAGAAAAATCCATATTGTAAAGTCTCTCTTCTCTCACTCCTAAAGAACAAATTTACAGAAGAAAAAAACTACCATTGTAAAACCTCTCTCAAATAGGAAAATCTCATTGTCAATTCACCGCTCATATGATCTTTTCACAAATTAAAAGAAAAAGGTGAAAGAAAATTTAGAGAAAAAAAAACGAATCACCATAATCAAAGTCACACCATTTAGTCTCTGACTTACTTTTAATATACCTTATTTAATTACTGATATATATACTATTGATAAATTATTGAGCTTTTCATATATCACTGATATAACTTATTTAATTATTGATATATATGTGTGTGCTGAAATACCTGATTTGATATATCATTGATAGATCTAATTTTATATATCATACCTAATTTGAAAGTTCATATACTTTGAAATGAATGTTGATATACCAATGATATACTTGAATGTTGATATATTATGTTTTACTCCAACAAAAAAAAATTCATTTAGAATTATAATTATAGGTGGAAAGTTTACTCAAAATTATAAATCTTAGATAACATCGTAGAAACTTTTCCCTAAACCCAAATGGAATTGTTCCAAGAATGACTTTTTAAACATTGTTTATCATTTAGAATTAAGTGATGTCATTCACAATTGCTAGTATATTTAATAAGGAGATTATCTAATAAAAGCTATGCCTTTAACATTCAAGGAAATATAGCAAGGTTTGACCTAAAAAAATTATGTTTGATCACTTGTCTAAATTGTGATGAATACACCAATTCGATGAAATTTACCGAGAAAATAAAATAATTCCTTACATTAGGAATAGATAGAAGGGATATCACAACTTTATGCATAGGTTTTGAAAAATCAGGGTGTAATCGGTGTTCCGCACGGCAAGTCCGACTAGATTGGTTTAACTCCCTAATCTTTTCAAATTCAAATTAATGTTGTTAATATATGTGTAACTACTATTATACGAAATCTTCCATTGTTTTATTTCTAAATTTAATTCTCTCACCTCTTCTATTTAAAGGTGAGAACTTACAGTATTCAAACATACATAAATCAAATCAAAAGCTTTTCTTAAATTACTTTCTTTTCTGCGTTAATTGCTTTCTTTACTTGCTACCAGAGTAGGTTATAACGATCTCCAACTTATCCAATCAAACTGTGATTCCACTGGCAGTAGTGAGTGACACCATCTTCACTAGTCCGCCATTGAATAACCTACTAAATCAAATTACCTCTATGGACGGAGGAAACTTCCTACTGTGACATAATTAGGATTTACCAATCCTGTGAAGCTAACAGGAGACAAGCCATGTCCTCCCATGAATCTTGTTCCAACAGACTCACCAACTAATGTAGAAGGCATCACCTCATTGCAATCTTCCCCCACTTTAAACTTTGCGTACGAGGCGTGGATCACAATAGATCAACTACTCTTGAGTTGGCTTTACAACTTGATGATAGCAGACATAGCCATGTAAGTGATGGGTATTTGCACCTCGAGAACTATAGACGACAGTTCAAGAACTTTTTGGTGTCCAATCCAGAGAGGAAAAAGACTACCTAAAATAGGTATTTCAACAAACCCGCGAAGGCTCGTTACAAATGACCGAATATTTAAAACTTATGAAAAATCATGCTGATAACTTGGCCTTAGTGGGTAGTCTAATATCTGTCGGAGACTTGGTTTTCTCAAATATTGACAGGCTTAGATGAAGAGTACACAATCCCATCGTGGTTGTCATTAAAGGAAAAGTAAATCTATCATGGTCAGAAATACATGTGGAGCTTCTAACCTATAAGAAATGGTTGGAATACCAAAACTCCCTCCAAGGTGGTGTCTTGATCAACTAAACTCAAACATGCACCACGAGCATGGAATGATGAGTTAAAGTCCATGTTGTTATCCTGGGGCTTTCAACACTCCAAATGAGATGTCTCTCTTTACTACCTAAGGTCATACTTACAATTATTCTTCTTCTAATCCATGTTGATGATGTTATTCTCACATGAAGTGACGACATCCACATTCATTGATAAATTCATTTGTATGCTGGACAGTCAATTTGTCCTCAAGGATCTCGATCGATTGCGCTACTTCCTCAACATTCAAATTGACCACTTGCCTATGGTCTCTTACTTAGTCAAGCAAAATATATTGACGATCTACTCTCTAAACTAAACCTGTAGCACCTCAAGTCGTGCCCATCTCTCGCTGTCACTAGCACCCAGCTCTCCCTCAGTGATGATCAACTCATGACAAACTCTTTTCTCTATCGCAACACTGTGGTGCATTGCAATACTTGACACACACCCAACAGAACATTTCTTACGTCGTAAACAAGTTCAGTTAGTTTTTATAGGCCCCCACGGATGTTTATTGGAATTTCGTCAAACGTGTTCTTCACTATCTTAAGTGTATTCCTACCCTCAGTGTGGTTATTTAGCATATTGATTGTCTCACTCTCACAGCTTACGCAGATGCAGACTAGGCCGTCAGCATTGACGATCGCAAGTATAATGCTACATACTGTGTTTTCTTTGGTGACTCATTGATATACTGGTCCTCGAAGAAGTAGAATGCTATTGCTCGATCCAACACTGAGTCTAAATATCGGGCTCTGACCCATGCCTGAAATGAGATCACTTAAATTCGACAGCTTCTTCAACAGTTTGGCTTCCCTTTTTTCCACTACACCGATACTTTGTGTGATAATCTCAAGGCTGATGCCTTAGCCTATATGTTGGGTTTGGTGCCCTTAGCTTGGGTATTTGTAATTTATGAACAAATTATTTATTCAATAAAGAGTTATCTTATTATTTCTTTACATTACTCATATTCCAATAAACTAAGATCCAAAGTTTTTTAATGTAACTAGAATAGTATATATTTGATATACAGTATATATTTACTATACAATGTACATATTTTATATACAATATATATTTACTATACAATGTAAATATTTGATATACAATATATATTCGACATACAAGTGGATAATGTTCTAGTAATAACCTCAATGGTCTATAGTACACAAATAAAGTTGGGTACCTTATCCTGGTAACACTTAGGGATATGACTTGGTAACAGTTACAAACGACTCTATCCATGTTGTTCATGTAGTGACATGCGAGTGAGGGTATTCCATACAATGAGTTTATATAAGATCGGACTTCGAAATCATTAACATCGTTAACTATTTAGATTAATATTTCACAAAATGATCATGTAACTCAATCTTAATCCTGAGTGAGTTCCGAACTCCTATCTACGAGGGTTTGTCATTTGATTTGTATGGGTGAAAGTGACTTAGGTTGCCGACTCAAAATTCCTATCATTTTGGAGACGGAACCGAGTAGAGAGTTGGAAACGTAATTACACCATATGAAATTCACTCTTTCCCGACTTTAGGAACTAATTAAGAAGGAACGACCACGTACCTTAAAAATTGTAATTCATTTTAAAAGTGACAATTTTGATCCCTTAATTTATTATTAATATAGGACAAATATTTTAGCTATCAATTATAAATCTCCAATAAATAAATGGTTAACCAAAATTTTAGGTGGGTGGAGTGTGGAGGTACTTATGCTAAGTTAGAAGCCCTAAATAATCATAACCTAACAACAAAGCACAGAGAAGGAGAACTGCGGTTGCAGAACAGAGCAGCAATGGGAGTGGAGAAGGAGGTGCTGAGACCTGGAACGGGGCCCAAACCCGCCGCCGGCCAGTTGGTCACCGTCCACTGCACTGGTTACGGTCAGTTTTCTGAGACTAGTCGTCTTTCATTTCCTCCAGAAATTGAGTTTGCTTTTGCTCCTTCTTCAGTTACATCTTTGTTTAGCGGCTTTTTTGCTCAATTCAGTCTGACTAGTGTTTGATTCTACGTTTTTTTTGCATACTATTTTTCAATTCGGCAATTACAGTTCAAAGGTTGAATCGTGAGATCGAATTCTGAGGGGTTTCATAGTGGTTTGATCATAGATGATGGTTCAATATATATATTTTTTCTTTTTTTAGTACTGCTGAATCAAGATGTATATCTCTTTGCGTATTTTTTTTCTCCAACATTGAATTGTGTATATCGTCTGTTTGTAAGGATCGAAATGATTGAAAGGTTATAAAGCTACAACTTTTAACACTTTGAGCGTTGATTTCATTTGTTTTATTATCTACAATGCCAACGCTTGAGCCTGGCTATTTTTTTCATTCCCTTCTTTGTAGAGCACCAAATTGTCTATGAAATTGTTTGTCATTGATCTTGCATAATAATCTACTTTTACGTTCAAATCTTTACTAAAAATGATGTGGTTAATGGTTAGGTAAGAATTTGACAGTTGATATAATGTTTTATCAAGGGAAATCACTATTCTCCTTTCCTTTAATGTTATACTCTTTCGTTTTTTTTTCACTGTTGAATTTCTTCTTCAGGAAAGAATGGTAACCTGTCTGAGAAGTTTTGGAGGTAAGCTGTTTGCCCGTCTATTTATATCAAATCTGCATTACAATGTACCTGAAGATTTACTTACTGATGCCTTATAAACTTTTATTTAGCACAAAGGACCCTGGACAGAAACCTTTCTCATTTAAAATTGGTCAAGGCTCAGTTATAAAAGGTATCGTCCTGCATATTCCATTCCTTTTTCTTCCCTTAACTTGGGAAATTTATATCAAATCTGCTTATAATTATTGATCAAACACTTATTTTATTCCTTATTTCTTTTCGCTCCCTTAACTTTGAAAAATTATATTTTCGTGTCAAACTTACAAGTTTTTTTCACATTCAACTTTGAGAATACCAGGGACAAAGTTGTCATGAAAATATCATGGACAAAAAGTTATCATGAAAATATCAGGGACAAAGTTAATGATATGTACATTAGGGACAACTTTATATATTTAGCATAATAAAACTTAGAGTTGATTTGGGGGTAGTCTAAGATTGGAAGAACCATGTTTGTAAATTGTTGATGCCAGGTCACTCTTAGTCTTTGCAGTAAAATACATATAGGTATTTCGTGTGGACACTTTAGCACCCTTTTACTGGATGTAACCTTTTCAACAGTCATTGGAAGTGACAACTAACTCGAGAAGTTTAAAGATTGAGTATGAAATAATAATGCCATGATTGTTCAGGGTTACAATAAGAGTTGAACAATAATTTAAAAGGATAAAGCGCTTTACATGTTCAACTCTAGGCTTCTTTGTTCCATTGATGTAACAAAATGCTGTTTATTTATTTATTTTTTATATTTGAAGTATTATTTCTACATCGCCATATCAATAGTTTTTCTTTTATTTATTTTTGTTCTGTTTTCCAATCAAAGGATGTATTATTCGCAGCTTCATAGGGCTCATTAAGTCACTTTCTAGAATTCAGTTCACTATTTTATCTTATTTCCAAAGTATGATTGATGTTTTCAAACATTTAAGCATAATGGATGCAACTAGAGTCTTTCTTAGCCATGCAAATCTCACTCAAAAATCATGGATCCTTAGTGCGGGATGCAAAGAAAATTTTGTTAATTTTTATAAATTTGCTATCGCTTCTTGAAAAATGTTATTTGAATATTTGCTGGCAATTAACTATTTTGATGTTTATTTAGAATCTGGAATTTATTTATTCATCTCTTTGATGGAATTTGTAGGATGGGATGAAGGTGTGCTTGACATGCATCTGGGAGAAGTTGCTCGTCTCCGGGTAAAATATTTACTTCTGTTTCATTCTCCAAATGATACACACTCTTAATCCAATCACTAGTTCGTAAGAAATATTCTGTTTATGTTTATACACATAAAAAATGATTTGAACGACCATATTGGTCTCCACATTTAACAGCTTATAGTTTTGTTTTAGTCACCAAAAAAATGTTTCAATTTCTGTATTATGGGCAGAAATTTTTCTACTTGAGTAACATAGTAGAGTCGGAATGGTTTAAATGTGTCCAGTTCTGAACTTGGGATATTTTTAAACACCCTAAGTTTAGGTTATTACGAGAGTAGCCATTTGTCTTCCCAATCCCGATAATGATACATAATAAAAATGGCCCTTCATGTAAGTAAATTATTTTCTTAAAACTCTGGAGCCCTGGCTGCTATGCTATGCAGCAATGTGCTCACATCTTAGGTCAGTTTGAAAACCTTCCTATTTCTTGTTTCCAATTTTTTAGAAACATAAGCATTTGATAACTAATTCTTGTTTTTTTTTTCTCATTTTCAGAAACATTCCCAAAATTCTATACAAATTTTAGAAAAAGAAAAAACAAGTTTTTTGGTTATTGTTTCCGTTTCTAGTTTTTCAAACTCATATATAAAAGTAATGTTTTAACATTTTTTTACTGATAGAATGCATAATAAATGTTAATAATTAAATATGACATCAAATTTTGTAATATTATATTTGAAAAAATAAAGTTCCATGTAATATTTTTGTTTTCTTTAATTTAATATTCGAGAGAACAAGAAATGGTTACAAAATACATTTCCGTTTCGTTTTTCAATAAACAAACAAAATCTTGTTTTTTCTTTATTAGAAAAGAAAGAACGAGAAACGGGAGAAATCAAAAACAAGAAAGGAAAATGAGAATGTTACGAAACTGGCCTTTGGATTATTAGCTGCTAATAGAATACATGATTTTCACATATTATCATATCTGGCTCACCTTTTCTTTTTTCCATGTTGGATGAATGTCCAGTGCTCTCCAGACTATGCTTATGGCTCTGGTGGGTTCCCTGCATGGGGCATACAGCCTAATTCAGCCCTGGTCTTTGAAATTGAAGTTCTGAGCGCTCAGTGAGACAAACTGGTTTGTTTTCTTTCAAGTCTTTCTACACCAGCATTATAGTTTGTTATCAACAACTCTGCTTTCGTCTTCGTTTCGTGATGATGTGTAATTGTTATCTACTCGACACGTTAGGTTTGTTTAGTTTCGGGTTAGCTTGGAAACTCTCTTGGTTATGAAGCTGTGACTGCTTGGCCTTGGTTATCAAGGCTTTGTTGGCATGACAAACAACTCTATATCCTATAATGCCTATTTAGTATTTAGTTTGCTATATTCATTGGCATTGGGTATTGGGTAACATGTTTTGGGGTCTGTTGAGGGAGTGCTTACATTAAAAAGTACCTTCATTAAAATTGGGTTTTAGAGTCGTTTGGCAATGTTTATGTTTTTCACATAACTATTTGGTTGTTGTTGATATCGAAATTTTTGGAAACAATATTGGTTACTTGTTCCCATTTCCGGTTTTTCAAAAACATAAATGAAATTGTTAAATTTCAATGCTTAGTCCTTGAATTTTAGGGGAGTGTTTAATAGATTTCTAACTTATCCAGTAGGTTCTTAAACTTTCTATTTTCAGTTTTGTTAAAAATTTTATCTTATTATTATTATTTTCTTGAATTAAACATATTAGGTGGAGATTCAAAAACCTATGACAACTTTTGGTGGATTATATATACCTTAACTAATTGAGTTATGCTCAAGTTATTAGATAATATGGACTCGTTTAGTAACGTTCTTGTTTTTTTGTTTCTGCTTCTGTATAACCTCGAGATTCATGAATTCAAGTATGATAAAGCAATATTTTCATCTACATTTTGGAATAAATTGGAAATGGGAAAAAGAAAGAAAATTTTGTTTTGTTTGTTTTCAAAATTTCTATACAGTAGGAAAATTAAAGAACTTAAATCTGGAAGAGGAATTTTGAAGCCCTATTTTGCTCAGAATCAGGCAAAATAATCTATACTTTCATTTTTGTGTCATTATAAAAAGCCGTCAATTACAATTAACCAAGTTGTCAATACAAATTGTAATCTCTTCTTTATAAGTTAGCTCGAGACTTTTTCACTCCTCTAGTACACGAAGTGACTAGGGACACATGCCCCCTAGATTTATTAAATTATATATAGTGTACTATTCGATGGGCAAAATAGCCTTTACTTCGTTGCCTTCCTCTCACACTAGCGTACCCCTACCTTCGTGTATGTCGTTTGCGAGACTCAATAGTTTCAGTTTTTTAAATATATTTTTTCATAAATAAGGAGTTATTTTTGAAAATATGCTTTACATTTAAAAGAAATAATTTTAATTTTAACTTTTTATGTTTAATTAAATTTATATTGTAGCTAGTATTATGTTTCTATTCAATTTCTATCATTAGCCTATTACTTTGAAAAAAAAAACTCTACGAAAATCTCATTGGTTTAATAAAAAATCAAGTTTTTCAATGAAGTTTGATAACTTGAATAATGCACCATTAAATAATTTAAAGATCAAATCTGATTTTGTCGCGAAAGGCCTTTGACAATGAAATCTAATTTTCGTCACCATAGATCTTTGGCGACAAAAATTCAAATTTTGTTGTCAAAGACCTTTCATGATTAGGCTACAGCGACGATGATGGCGATGAAAAAATTTTGTCGCCAGAACCTTTTTCCGACGTTTTTTGACCAAAATTCTTGTAGTGTATATAATTGTTAAAGCAAAAACTAATGGTTGGCGAAAACGTAAAATAAAATACCGGAAAAAATAATGGGTGTCGGGAAAGAAAATTAAGTGGAATGAATTTCACAAATCTTATTAGTGCAATTTGAAAATAATTTTGTAATTAAAATATATAATAACGAGGATTATAGAATTTAATATACTTTCTATATATTAGTTGAATACTTCATTAAAATATAAAATTAGAGGATGATAGAATTCAATATACTCGTTGAATACTCTATTAAAATATAAACATTTAATAGTAATTATAAAATTTAGTATTAATTGACAGTTAATTCCTTCAAGAAAGAATATATTTTTAAAAAAATATTTAATAAATGTAATAAGATGATATTAATTGAGGGTAACTTGAAGACAAAAAATCTTAATTCAAATTTCGTAATCTATACTTAATAAGTATCTTAAAGAAATATCATTTATTTTATCATGTATTAAGTGACCTACGAAGAGAGATAATTTCTAAACAAGAAACAGAGAAACAAAAAAATAAAAACGATAAACAAAAAATAAGAAATGGAAAACTAGCTAGGGATCGTTTGATAACGTTCCTGTTTTTTATTTCTGTTTCTTTATTTTCATGAAGAAAAATGTATTATATGGTTCAAACCTCTAAGAATTTTAGTATGATGAAACAATATTTTTATTTATGTTTTTGAACAAATTGGAAATGAGAGAGAAACTTGTTTTGCTTGTTTCCAAAAATTTTATATAATTGTCAGAATGTTCCCAACAAAAAATGAGAAACAAGAACAAAGTTAGTTGTAAAATGCTTAAGTTTTTTAAGAAAAATAGAAACAAGAAATAAGAAACAAGAAATAAGAACGTTATCAAACGTATCATAGGTAGCTAGATTTGCACTCGCCTTTTCTAAAACTTATACAATTGGTAGACTGGTAACTCGAGAACCTTATTACTTCTTAGAGGGAAAAAGAAGTGGTCACAAAACATGTCATTTACAAAGTCGAAATATATAAATTTTACTTTTGTAAAGCTAAATATTAAATTAAATTCTTTAAATTTAAAATTTGAAGTTTAGTAGGATTATAATAGTACATTTTAATTTTAAATTTTTTGAAGTAATAAAATTTTAATTAGACTTGGACGTTTATAGTATATAAAAGAATTTTTATTTATAACAAAACTTTTCATACTATGATATAATTTGTTTAATAAAAAAATATAACATTTATCATAAAATAAAAAAATTGTTTTTATTATAAGTCCTATACTGTATTATTTTTAGATAAAACGAAATAAACTAAAAAGTATAATTTAAAACAAAATTGGAAACAAGAGTAAAAGTTAAAAACAAAGACTAAATTTTAACCTAAGAATTAAAAAAAAATTTATTTATTCAGTATTATTGTTTTAATTTTTTAAATCTAAAACAAATAATATAATAAATTTTGCAAAAAAACTCAAATAATTGGGTTCAGCATAAATCTATCTCCCATCAAAATGTCATAAGTTATAATACTCACAAGCCCGTGTTGTATTCAAAAAAATAAAATATAATGTTAATCTGGCACAAAATCTAGCTCAAAAACTTCGAACTCAATCAGACGATCACCACCCATAGCTAATCAATTGATTTCGGAAGTTCGGCCATGCGGCAGTTCGAACGTATAAACCTCAGACCACCAACTTGCCACTATTGTGCATATTGCTCCGCTACTTTTTAAAGGAGATATCATGGACAGTTACAATCTAGTTGTTAGCTGCCTATAAATAGTTATGGTACATTGATCCTCAAGGACGCGTGAATCTCGATATTAATTTGAGAGTAAAAAAGTTCAGATTTTTATTGACTTGGGTGTCGGAGTATTCATTTTTTTTTTCATGCAGGTCAATTCTCATTAGAATTCGTGACTAGTCTAAGTGAATTTTGTAAGTAGGGTCCATACCTACATTATTTAATCCTAGAATTTCTTTTTCTTTGGGGATGTTAACAATAAATGGTCCTCCAAGAAGAAGAATCATATTCCAAATGAAACTTCAAATCAACTACTCTCGTGGAAGCTGACACGAAAACCGACTCAAGAAGTTCGAACTCTCAATCACACGACCACTGCCCATGACGAATCAGTTGATTTTGGAAGTTTAACCATGGGGAGTTCAAATATATCTGCCTCAAACCACCCACTTGTCACTACTTCGCATATTGCTTTGACATTTTAAAGATGATACATTGTGGGCATTTATAATCTAGCTATTAGTTATCTAAATATCTTGGATAAATTGATCTTCAGAGATGCACGAATCTCGATATTAACTTGAGAGTGAAATAGTTCGGATGTACACTAACTTGAGCATCGAAGTGCTCATCTCTCTTTTGCAGATCAATTCCAATGGGGATTTGTGACGAGTTTGAGTGAAATTTTATGCTCAAATAGACGCATGCTTTTTATCATAAAACTTTTTTTCTTTATTGATGTTAACAATAAATGGTGGAAGAAGAAGAATCATGCATATTCCAACGAAAATCATAAAATTCTTGTTCATCCAACGATTCTCATTGAAAATGACATGGAGATCAACTCAAGAAGTTCAAATTCAATCAAACTACCCTTGCCCGCAGCGAATCAGTTGATTTTGGAAGTTCAGCCATGGGATCAGTTCAGACATACCTGCCTCAAACCACCCACTTGCCACTACTCTGCATATTGCCCTACGATTTTACCAATGAGATATCGTGGACAGTTATAATCTAGCTGTTAGCTGCCTATAAATAACTAGGATAAATTGATTTTCATGGACGTACGAATCTAGATATTAATTTGAGAGTGAAATAGTTCGGACGTACACAGACTTGAGCATCTAATTGCTCATTTCTCTTTTGCAGATTAATTCCAATTTGAATTTGTGACGAGTTTGAGTGAAATTTTATGCTCAAAGAGACTCCGTACTTTTTATCCTACAACTTTTTCTTTATTGATGTTAACCATAAATGGTCCATGAAGAAGAACCATATTCTAATGAAGCTTGAAATCAACATGCAAATATTAATCATAAAATTCTTCTTAATCCAACCACTCTTGTTGACGTTGACACGAAGACCGACTCAAGAAGTCCAAACTCAATCAGACGACCACCACCCATAACAAATCAGTTGATTTTGGAAGTTCGACTACGGGAAGTTTGGACATATTTGCCTTAAACCACTCACTTGCCGCTATTTTGCTTTGCCATTTTTGCATGATAATGGGCAGTTATAATCTAGACGTTAAATGACTAAAAATACCTCAAAGATGCACGAGTTGACATGAATTTGAGTGTGAAATAGTTTGGATATATACTGACTTGAGCGTCGAGGTACTCATTTCTCTTTTGCAGGTCAATTCCCATTGAGATTCGTGAGAAATTTGAGTGAATTTTGTGCTCAAACAGGTCCACGCATTTTATCCTACAACTTTTTTTCTTTATGGATCTTGACAAATAAAGGGTCCAAGAAGGAGAATCATATTCCAATGAAACTTGTAATCAACATATCCAATCATAAAATTCTTCTTAATCCAACCACTCCCAATGTAGTATCAATCTTATCTCTTGCATTGGTATGCTCCTATAAATATTGAGCTACTCAACGAAGTAAAGTCATCACAAAATTTTCTTCTTCATCATAATATAT